CGATAAGTAATATTAATTACGGCAGCCCGGCACGGCCTACTGACCATTTGCCTAATATGAACATCCAAAAAAATCCGATAAGATATGATTCGATATGAAACGACTTTAACATGGTCGTTTCATTACCAATTAAAACAGAAGAAATATCAGTTATATTATATATAGCAGTAAAGTAGTTAGTTCCTTCTTTTACCATAAAAAAAAACATCTAAAACAATCTAATTTCCCTTTCTCAAGGTCCCCAGGCTGGGTACCCAGGCAGATAGAGCTCATAAGTCTGAGCTGTATCTGACAGCACGGGATTGCCTATTTCCTCAGTCTTTTCCCATGGCCCCATGCTATTCTGCCGTTCAAAACTGCCATTTGCTAGAGCGAGAAAGATAACGGGTGTGCGATAACACGCCACGAAATCCTTGAGACTATAGGCAATACGATACCTTTCTCGCTCCAACAAAAGGCGGTTCTTAGGGACAGTAGAACACGGCGATGGGAAATCTCCTTTAAACGGAAATAACGTAGATGATAAGCAGTAGCCTATTGACAAAAGAAACTATGACGCCTCTCCTTTGTGCGTTTGTCCTTTTTGAAAGAAGTCAAATATTTAAACACAATAATTATAATACTATTCTTTATTGACCTACGCCACTATGGACAAGATAACACGCAAAACCGGGTGTGTCTACGAATTCTACACACTATATACGCATTTGTCTATTTTTACAACAACTTGTACTCTAAAAGAAATAACTTATACACGGTAATCGCTGTTTTCTATTACATTGCTCCGTTTGTTGCCGTTGTAGTCGAAAAGTTATATTAAACTACGCAATGTACAGTTTTTTGATACAAATATAAGAAGTGTATATTTGGTGGTACGATGTAATTATTTGGCGGGCGTCCGTTTTACGTAGCGGCTAGTTTCATTATATTATCATAAATCAGTCAATACGGCGGCATTCCTGCGACGGGTATTCTGATATAATAAGAGATACAATAATAATAAAATACGATTAGGGTTTATGTTACAGGCATCGGTGCCAATTCTGTTTTATCACTGTTTAAATATAAACCTTCAAATAAATATTATAATTTAGGTCGGTTTAAACGTTTGTCTGTAGTCACATGTAATCGTAATGTCCTAATTATTATGTTACATAGAAATGACAGATCAATTTGACATGATTGAAAATGAAATTTTGTTTAGTTTTTGTAACGGAATTTCAATCACTGGCGAATAAATAAGAAACAAAACAGTGTGTTTTATTCCAGAAAACCTGATATTTATTACAATGAAAGATTAAGTACTCGATATATTTAATTAGACAGAATGCATGCATTATATTATGTTTAGAAACCAATATTTACCGTTGTTTTCTATTAGGTAGACCGCGCTATTATTTTTTTATCTTAGTTAGATAGATAGATAAATCTTTATTGAAGTAGTTAATGTAATAAAAGTATTTATCGCTTCCTAACAACGCAATAATGATATTTTATCAGTAAAGAACAATGGCGAACTCCCATATAGCTTTGGACCTGAATCTTTAAAGTCCCGTTCATGAATGAAATAAACGTGTACTTGAAGGTATAAACTAAACTAACAAAATACTAATCGTTTTTCTCCTTCAAAAGTTGGGATTAAAAAGATATTGCATAAAATACTTTGTGGGGTTATATATTGCATTTTTGCTTTTTCGTTGAATAGACGTTAAAATAAATAATAATGGTAACCAGGTTACTCCATTTTATAAACTAGATTAAAATAATTACATATCTAACAAGATCCAGACACTTATAATAGAAGAAACATTTATAACATATGACTAGACTGTGTGGAGTAGATCCCTTTGCCTTTAATTAAATCATTACAACTGAAAATGACAAATAAGGGCAATTTACACATTGACCTGTCATTGTTATAACCGAATCGATTGCCATTCGGAATCCAAAAGTAATGCAAATATCAACGTTAGTCGAAGAAATATGCTTAATTGTCAATTTGAATAGTAACATAAATATCAAACTCCACGTACGAACACAACAAACAAACCAAACCAATCATCCGCTATCATTCCACCATCATCATCAAAGAACATTCATAGATGAAAACAAGCATGTCAAAATAAAATCAACCAATCGATTATTTAGAACAAAATAATCGATACGTGAACCTTTCATCGGATCAACAGCAGAACTGGCAATAATCTTCTTACATTGGTTGTGGTATCTTAGCTTTCAATTTTTTTATTTCTCAAGTATTCAATACGTAATTTGAATGAATAAAATAAATATTTATGAAAGTATCCAAAGACCGTATTTCATATAATATATTATATATAGATTTTATATTGAGTATATATTTGACGTTCATTCGCTCAGTCTGTACGCATCATTACATCACATATCTCACTTATATGTTTGAATAACTCGCGATTAATTGATCGATTCTGACATCGTTGATGTATGTGATCGATTTTTCAGAAACCATCGAAACTACAACCCTTTGACATATTGTGTGGTGTTAAATTAAAGAGATCAGAATCTATTCTATACAATCTTATTTTGAATTTATATTCGATTATCAAGCGTATTAATGGTACTTTAAAGGCAATAGAATTAATTGCAATGTACAGGAAACGATAATATCCATTAAAATAGATGACCCTTTTATTTTCCGGCGCAAAATTCATGAAACTCTTCCAAGACATAGTTATTAAAGTATTTCTGCGTAGACCAGAACGTTTCTTAAGAAGATTTTCGCCTTTTGTTTTTGCACTATCATCAGACGTTTTGTTATCTTGATAATTATTAGCAACATTTAATATTTTAGTTTGGTTCCCCGACATTAAAATTCACCATTTTATAGAAATTAAATCTATTAATCAAATATTATTTATTTGTCATATTGCCATCCATGTACGGTTTTGTAAATTGTGGGGTCTGATTTCGCCATTCTTCTTTTCAGTTTTTCAGAATCAGTAAATTTTAGTAATTCCAAACATGTATATAATTCAATGTTGAAAAAAAATGTTGGTTACTGCTTAGCCTTAGAGAAATTAGTTTTACAGCCGACAACTGTATGCTATTACAACGACATACGTGTGTATTCAGTTGGGTAAAATTAGCTTACTTAGCCGTATTTATTTTCATTCATTGTTAATAATATAATCCAGGCTACGGGGAAGGTCACAAAAAAATTAATATGTAAATTAATTCCGACCGACTTTGTAACAGACTTGTAGAATAGTCCACATTGCGGACGCGCAATTGAAACCACTTCCTTATTGTAGGGCTTGCGTCACCCTGAATAATCGCGACAAGTGGCCCCAAGTTGGTACGTCGCAACCCGAACTAACGCACACTTGACCTTAGCTTAGGTGCTAATTTAAATAAACACACACACAAACGCACAATGTGCTCCATGAGTGTTTTAGCTGATATTGGAATTGAAGATACTACGGACTGAAGATAGAAGAAACATTGTATATTTTTCTTAATATGCTCACACGACTTTTCGTCGTTTAATTTGGGTCGTGTTCTTCGACATTCCAGATACCAAATTCTCCAATTTATAATGATGGGCAAAAGGGCTCTACTTGGGAAGAGAAGCGTTGGGAGGAGCAAGAAATCATTGCTACGAAATATCAGAGAGTGGACGGGAATGGCTGTTCCATCTCGTTAGTCCCCACTAGGGACGGTTGTAAAATGCGGATAACCAACCTTCACTAGTTAGAGCGGCACTTTAAGTAGAAGAATAAAAGCATAATATAACACACGCACATATGCGCGCACACACACACACGCGCACTCACACACACGCGCACTCACACACACATACTCACACATCTCAACGTAAATATGTCATTTTTTTCGAACAAATTATGGGCTGAACATACAAACATCATTAATTTTAATAAATGTATAAATTAAAAGCCTATGTCATCCGCCTTTAATGTCCCGCAGGTGAAAGAATTTTTAAATCCGTCTAGTGGTTTCGGACGCTATTCTACAAACCATCAATAATACTCGTATTATCACAGATTTAAGTGCACAATATATGTATGTATAAACTGTGACATTAATATAGACAAAATATACAGTGTCCTTATCCGTGTATACCAATTCGAATAAGATAAGTTGGAGACTTTACATTTAGTTAAATAGTAATATTATAAATATAAAACCAATTACTGGCTATCAAACTTAATAGTTTAGTTCAAGGGCTGCGAACTGTTGGCAAAATGTTTATATGTTTATATATATTGTATAATTATGTTAATTTACGTAGCAGAATCGTTGTTGTAATCGGATGATAAATAATTCGGGGTTATCGCGGGGCCCGCCGCAATACGAAAAGGGTGACCATGGCTTCCGGTATTTGTGATTGATACATATTATATTGTTGTCAATTTTTATTTGTGTTTCTTTATCGTGACGAATACAAATTAAAGACAAAATGGCGTTTCGTAATCTTGGCCATCGATCAGAAGGAAGTGTACGTTTACCTATTGCACAACTGTCATTAATTGAATTTATTTTCTTACAATGTATGAGTATTTTTTTTGTGAAATAAAGTGTTAAATAAATACGTTTTAAAAATAGCATTGATTATAACAATAATGATAAAAAAATCTATTTAATGTATAATTATCAAAAAAAAAAAGATTATGTATTGTATTCGCAAATACCAAGATATCAATATCCAATATTATATTACAAGTAAAACACGACCACGGCATGTTGTATCTTATCAATTTTGCATTCAAAAACATGGGAAAACTATATTTAAAAGTTTTCAATTGACTTAATATCAGTCCAATAGAATCGAGGCTTATGGTACCAAAATATTTAATTCTGATGACAATTCGGTATACGTAAATGATAATATGGAGATCCATAAAGGTCTTTCATATAACAATAATAATATAGGCAACGTAAAATATAGCAAAGGCGTTCACGACAAGCCTAGTAGTTTGACAGACGTAATCCTCAAAATTCGTCTAGTTTGGTAACATCGCCGTAGGCCAGTATAAGTCAAGGTCGCGTGTTACGCACACGCGCGAAACTAGGAAAACCTTGGCTTCGGTCAACAACCTGCGGAAGTTAACGCGACCACTATAAAAAGACCCCTAGTCGATAACGCGCACCCCAAACCTCTAAGTTAACACAAACCACGTTCACCGGGAAAGAGCTCTCAGAGCCTGGATACTATCTTTTCATGTCATCGGGTGACCTTCAGACCCTGACGTTTTATATTAACCATCTCATTCTTCCGTCTTTGTCACTACACAATAAAGAGAATGGTAATATCCAGTTTCTTCAAACAGCTGACCCGACAGTGTTAAATTTGTCTATAGAACGAGCTGGTCGACACGAATGACGCAATGTGATTAGTATTTTTCCGCGATTCAACTAATTTTATGAGCTTTTAGATAAAATTAGACGTGCCGAACGTTGATTATACGATCGTTTTACTTTGGAATTGTTGTTAATTATAAAGATTAAACAAATACAGTTTGGGCCACTGGAGATTTTAATAGCTGTAGCTTGTGAAGATTACCTAAATATTAATAAAAATAAGTTTACTAGCAGCGAAAGTAACAAGTACTTGAGAAGTACAGTTGTACGTAAGTATGTAAGTAAACAAGTATGTATATAAATTGTCAGTCATTTAGTGACAGTGATCAAGTGGTCAGACTCTCAATGTTAAATGCAAATTAATACTGCGAAAACATTTTGTTACAGGAAAAAATCGTTTAAATAAATAAAATCCGAATGACAAAATCCCAAAGTGAGTCAAGAGACATAGATATTTGAAATTGTGTTTGCTAAGATACTTTATCCGTAGATCATCGAAAGAAATATGAAAATTTGAACTTTTATACTTAAAAGACTCCAAAAAGGGAAAAAAATACCATTGGTATGGTTAATATGAGCGACTAAGAAACATTTAATAAAAGCTGTAAATAACTGCAAAGTCAACAAAGCTTACCGGAAGTGCAAGATAACCAACATCAACAATAATAAGAAGAAAACTTAAAGAGACGAAAAACAGAGAACACGCGTAAAACACATAAATTGAGCTCAGATGATAATTTTAATTACGCAACTAATGATAGAATGAGGCTGAAGTCACTTAATAGAGACTTTTTGAATGTTTTTATAATCATTACAAGTTTGTACAGTCACGCTTTAGTTTGTAAAGAAATAGACACGTTAATATATTCACCAAAATTAACTTTCAGACATTGACGAACTCCGTAGCCGACCGCCGGTTTCAAGGTGTCGTCATCTCTGAGGTCCCGGGTTCGATTCCCAGTCGGGTCAATGTAGAAAATGAACTATTCTATATTGTCTCAGGTCTGGGTGTTGTAGTACCTTTGTTGTCTAAGATGCTCCATAATACGGGAGCTTTAGCTACTCATCTTGGAATCTGAGCAATGTATGTGATGTTTTTTAATGTTTAATTTAATATGGTTACGTGTATGTGTGTCTATTATAAGGCCTAGGTACTGACAGTATTTAGAAGGAATGAAATTACACATTGGCTATAAAAAATAATAAAAACACCTCCTAGCACTTAATTAATGATACAAGGTTTGAATTTAAAAAAGTTCGAATGAAATTATGGCAGCAAATAAATTCTATACACGTAACAAATAATAAACGGTTGGAATCATTCATTAGCGGCTGGAGTTTATTGTGAATTTAAATCGGTCGGTGCTTTAGGCATGAATGTGTGAGAAAAAAACACATTAAAATACGCCAAAAGTAAAACTGAAATCAAATTAATTGTGAACAAAGCAATAAATATTGCAAAAGGAAACACGGGGTAAAATGTTATTCAATAATTAAAACTGCTTATTAACTATTTCAAGCGGAAATTGGCAAATTTTGCCAATATCCAACAAGGATGAATTTACTACAATCGCGATATTCCGCGCATATATCTTCATTGTCTGACTCTGTCTCATTAACAGACCTTAGGGTCGACACATGTCTAACGGAAGATTCGTTGTGTCTCATCAAAACAGTCAAATATATTATTAGTGATTGAAATTTCCAAACCTGATAGACGATTAACGGATCTTCCATTCAGTCATTTCGTTTTTTCTGCACTCTCTTAAAATAGCTTAAAGAGCAGAAAAAGTCATTGACTATATAAGAGTATTAAGTAATTGACATACACAAATATAGAAACAAAACTTACCTTAGTACTTTTCTTCTATTATTAGGATGCAATCGCGCTGCCATTACTGGATCAATAGATTTCAAAGTTTGGTGGATTTCTTCATTAGTATAATTAGATTCATTATCAACGACCTCTTTTACTTTTTCTTTAGTTTTCTCGTCCATCACATCAAATTTATCTGTAATATGTTTTTCATGCAAGTTTGCGCTGTTGCTCACGTTAGCAGTTGAATTATATGTATCTTTTAATTGGGTATTACTTTTTTTAGCAGAAGTTTCATTTTCTGTGCACACCGGTTCGTCTAGATCTCTTTTCCTTCTACTTTTATCCCAAAGCAATGCATTCGAGTCATCCATATCTTCAACTAGAATTTTATAAACTATTGATTCGATGTAATAATTTGTTCCGCCTACTATTATTGGTATCTTTCCCTGTTCCGTTAAACTGTCAATCTGTATTCAATATTCAGAAAATATTAATTAAATAGTGAATATTGTTGTTTAAAATTTATTTAGGAGAGAAGCATTCATTACTAATTGCTTTTTGATATAACGCCAAGATAAGCAATCAAGTTCTAGAAATCCGACCTCTTTCAATATACCGACGTAATTTGACTGGTAAATTATAATTTATTACCCTCATAGGTATATTTTATTTTACTCGTATGATTATTGCAAAAAAAAATACATAACTCCGATACAAATACTTTTTGGGTATCATTAACATAACCAACTACCCTACAAAATAAAATAGTCGATTGACCTTTTCACATCGCTCACTGAATAGTACTGTGGCACAACTCAAAAACCATAATTTCGAGAAACGCTCTCCGAAGTTATGAAAATATAATATATTTATAATTATGAAAATCAATTTTTTTAGCCTAACAGTGAAATCGTTTGTATTATATTATTACAGTTAAGTTTTTTATTTTTTCTTTAAATTATCTATGGGATGCCACCACAATGTTATGGCGTTTTCTCGAAATAATGGTTTTTGAGTTGTGCCACTGTACTATTCAGTGAGCGATATGTGAGATAATAAGCTAGTGCTGCATTATATGTTTTATTTCACTAGTAGATTTGCATGAAAAAGAAATGTATAATTTTTTTTCACCACGTTATTTTAAACTTCAGGAAGAGTTAACCTGTATTATATGAATGTGATTCATGAAAATGAGCGAAGTAACATTCAAGGCTATAGCAGGTCAACCGTGAAGCATAAAATTAATTTCTAATTCCAATACGTATACACTTGAATAAATATTACACGAGTGCGAACACTTGATGAATAGCGTTTTCGAGAATTTTCACCATTGTCTTCACTTTAGGTGAAATTTATATATTCGACTTTAATCACTGACTTTTAATCTTAATCTTAAACTATATAATTTATATAGAATTAAAAAATATTTAAAAAAACCGTAAAATTTTCCCCAGTTCTATGTATTAAAGTTTAAGACTAGGTGGAGAAATTTATTAGTTTTGTGAAACCTCACGTGCTTCGTACTAATTATCGGCTACATAACTAAGCGAATCCTTATGTATACTTTTCTAAGTGCGGAACCCTAAAAAAGAAACCATCTATAAAATTACGCGTATAAGAAATAAGTTCGAAGTGGAGGATTAAAAGTTAAGAGATATACTAGATCCCATTCCAGAATAAGCCAAGACTTTATAATCGCAATACGGATATAATAATTATCGAGGATCTGAATCGAGAATGGTCGATCACCTAATGAACCATTAACAGTGTTCCTTCCTTCGCAACTAAACTAATAATTTTTCCAGTTATGATCGAGGAAAAGTAACTAGAAATAAAGCAAATAGCGATCTAATAATCCACAGACCTACGCTAGAATTTTCAATGACAAAAATCATGTTAGATGATTTCTTTAATCCAATGTTTTTGCTTGTCCACTTAACCAAATAAACCGCACTGATTGACAGGCAGGTTCAAACTGTACAAAAGATTACTATTTTCGTGTTCAATAGACCAATTAACGGTTAATTTAGTGGAAATAAAAAATAAACACAAATGTATTATTGATTTCTTTAAACGAAAACACCGAAATGTCAGCAATATAATTGATGCTATGACTAACAAGTTTATGGGAGGAGTTCTTAGTGATAAGGTATCTAATATTCATCTTTGAGTGAAAAGAACAGACACTTATATAACGACCTATTAAAATGTGAATAAAAGTTTATCAAAAAGAGTTTTAAGTCAATAGACAAATTACAAAAGCAGTGAATCAACGAACTGCCAATTCTCAATACATTGTCAAAAACTCGATACTATGCATAACTTGAACCAGTACGACTGGAGAGAAATGAACTTATACAATTTTGCATAACTGGGTCAAAAAAGTTCGATTTCAGATGTCAATAATGGTCACAGTCGCAATACCAATGGAGAAATCAATGAATTTGTCATGATAAGATACATGATAAGGAAAACATGAGTAAAGGAACATATACATACTTGATCTTGGAACATTTGTTCAGTACTAATCTCAAGTGGAACGGTTTCGGGTTTTAACAGGTCTCATGACAACATTCAAAATCATTTGCTACAACGCCTATCGATCGATAAATGTTGACAACCCATTTCACATCTGGAATTAGTTAACACCAATTAATTAGTGTGATGTGGGATACTTTTCGTACTGGACACAAAGTTCAAAATCGTCTATTTTGTAAGTTGTATTTCGTATCTGTATATGCTCACCTATGGGATCTTTAATCGGCTTAGACGGTGAATGACCGAAACGCAAAAAGCCGCACAAGCCTTCTTGAGGTGGCCGCACTCAATACATCGGCTTATTTGATTAACGAACCGCGGTCAAGCGTAAATAGAGTGTTACGTCACGCGACAGCACACGTTGCTTTAGTCGTTGGGTGCTGTAACCTTAACATCTTCCACGATTCATGTTGCAACAACTCTGCCAAAGAGTTTGTACTCCAAGAGCATGGAAAAGTTAAATGATTTTTATCAAATCTAAGTTTCCATGACAATACTCGTGTTGTCAAGTCGAAAAACCTAATTGCCAATCAGCGCGTTCTTATAACAGAAAAAATATACACTTGGCAGTTATGGAATACTATACAATTTTGCGTTTCTATGTGGTCTGGTAAGTCGATTTTCCTGTCTATATTTAGATTGTTCATTTCTATTTATGTATTCAACCCTGGCGTCGATATTTATGATTTTAGTGATATAACATTTATTGACATGTCTAGCCCGTTCTGTTCACTAATGTAACGAATGCGAAATTAAGCTTAATACTTAATTTAGCGAGAAGTTTCTACACATCGAATTCTTGATAATTATTAATTAAATTTGCCGTATTTATTTTAGATTAGTGACGATGGAAAGTTTTTAAAACACATTTACATTCAATATAAGTATACTTTTTATAACTTATTCAAAAGTTGTTTGACCTCCTAATTAGTTTTCTAAAGCTGTCAATTTGTTACAGATCGAGTTATATGATAAATCGTATAATAAAGAGGGTGGAATACTTAACAAGATAGATCACATGTTTCTATCTAGATCTTCTGAGCAATTAGCGACACTGTTATTGTTGGACCGATAAATCGGATTAAAGGGCCAACTTGGCAAAAACGATAACATATAATGTATGAAGGCAGATCTGTGTATGGCTTAACCCATTTTGAAGCTATCCCAAACATGTAATTGTATAAAAGCAGCAGTGTTATCACAGTTTTACTTAAAGGATACAATCTTGAGTGCTCTGTTTCTGAAGTCCACAACAGTGAACATTTGATGGGGCTCTAGAATGTCCAGAAGATGATGGGTGGCCGCCTCCCGTTCCTGGCGACTTGCTTTAGCTGTCACCACATCAAGTCCTTTGTAGATCTGCAACAATACAAAATAAATTGAAAGACAAGAAGAATTTAGATGATCATGATAAGAGGATAAGTACGAGGTCGATATTAGTAGGTCTCTTAGTTAAAATAGAATAATGACAATTAAAATTCTTCGCTAATCTATAACATTATAAGTGAGCATATCCTTACATCCTTTCTTTGCTAACTGAAATTAAAAAATGAAGATTCTTCACCAAGATGGGTATATATGGTAGGAAGAAAACTTTTAGACGATTCCAAAGTGCCGGCAATAGCTTACATATTGGATTTGAAATTTTATAATTTTAATTTTCGAGGTTTGTTCCTGCGATTTTTGAATTAAAGTCCCATAATTCATTAGACATAAAGACGAACAAATAACGAGATGAAACCAAGACGAAGAAAGCCTCAAAGATTATTTTTATCTATTTACAAAAAAAAACTTTTTTTTAAATCGATTACAAGATAGTAATTTTTGATCTAATTCTTATCGACCGCGCCGAAAAGGGTGGCTCCGGTGATTTGATAACAGATATAGAGCATCATGCAATAGTGCTATCCTGTTACAGCGTCTACTTTAAAAGGTAATAAAGGTTTTATTTAATTGAACCTCTAACGGCTCAGTTACACTGGTCGGTTATTGTTTTATTGACTAATGAGATGAGCTCGAAGACGTCGCTCGCGCCCCGCGTGCTGAATCCGTCGGCAAGTGTAACTGGTCGACAAGTGTAACCCCTCCCTATTCCCTTCCCTCTACCCCTCAACCCTTCCCTCCCTATGATCATATTCGTCCCTCAAAGGCCGGCAGCGCGCTTGTAGCCCCTCTGGTGTTGCAGGTGTCCATGGGCGACGGTAATCACTTACCATCAGGTGATTCGTCTGCTCGTCTGCCCCCTATCCCATAAAAATAAAAAAAATCGACTGTATTTTTTTTCTATTTGTTACCTCATAAGTTTTTACTAGTGGGCCCGTTTTCAATTTGGTCCAGATCTGGCAATGGCGTCTATGAGAAAACGATATAAGTCTTAAATTTGCGTTAAATATGCTTGATGTTTGTTACCTCAAAACTTTTTACAAGGTGAACAGGGTGAAAAAAGAATCAATAAGATATTCTTTTTTTTATTTGAAAATTGGTGCTTTCGGTGTGGTCCCATTTCAATTTTCAGCATAGTATTCGTCAGATTTAGGAGAAGGTTAACAGTTTTTAAGAAATGAACGTTCGCACTTTAACGTGGTTTTATGGTTTCATGGTTCAAAGCATATGCGCCTCTTTAATTCCCTTGCCTACTTTTTAATTAATCCATGAATATAGAGAGAGATATTTTGGAAAGGGCACCTATTTCTGACGCTCGTGTCAATTATGCTAATGTGCCCAAATCGTATGAAATGTATGGATGTAGGGCGGTGTGGAAAATAATCTTTGCAACGCCCGAATTTAATCCGTCATTAGGGCTGCTAAGCATTTAACAAATAATATAATCATACAATAATTATATTTTTAATATTTGTAAAATTATTTGGTTTGTTATCGGTTGATAGTGGTTAAGATAATTAACAATTTTAGAACATTGCCAAGAATTCAATTCAGCAACAGAGTATAGGCATAAGATAAGATATGATTTTTTAAGGAATCAGAAATTCAGAGTCAGTCTCTCTAAATTAAAGTTGACAGCCCTATTTTTATTACGTAACTCAAACTATATTCGCAGCTAATAATTTTCATCTCATATACTGTTCAATTTCATTTTACGACTAATTTTAAAGTATTACTCAAATGTCATTCAAATTAGTGATAAGGCCTGTTAATAAAACCTGTATTAGCTTCTAATCTGTTAAAGGCGACATATCTTGATTGGTTCATATTTTTAAAACTTAAGTGGAAGATATAATTTATTAAAAATTTACTACGTACGAATAGTTTTCACGACAAAGGGATCCGTATTAATTAGTAACGTCATATCGTTTAAAACTTTCATTTACACAAAAATAATAGTAATAGTTATTTACGGAATAAAAATGGCGTCTAAAAGATTGACTGGAGATGTTTTATTCGTATATTGATTGGCCAAACAAAACGAAATAGCGCGCCGAATGTAGGAAAATATCAAAGCGGTCAGGGATAACATCACACAAAAATTAGTCTCCGCGGAACATTAATTGATTTAGGTCCTAACCACTGGATCACATAACCAAAGATGATCTCGAAAAGAATTAACATAACGCGAATTAAATAGCCGAGTGTCTAATCGGCCAAGTGTGACTCGGTCCCGCGCAGAATTATCCATAGAAACAATAATGTTTTTAAGCTTTCGCGCTGCATGTTACATGCCGGTCGAAACGTCGGAAAATATAGGTAGGTGAGAAACCTAATCATCAAAATCTATCGCGTTAATACCCGTCTTATACTATTTAACACAATAAATTACGTTCTTTTTTGTATGGGAGCCCCCCATAAATATTTATTTTATTCTGTTTTTAGTTTTTGTTTTTATAGCGGAAAAATACATCATCTGTAAAATTATTAACTAACTATTAAGGATCATGGGACAGAATGGTAACAGAAAGACGGACGGACAGAGGAGTCTTATTAATCAGGCTCCCTTTTAACCTTTGGAGTACGGAATCCTTAATTTATTGTTCCGCAATCAAACACAATGAGTGTTTTGTGTCCAGAATAGCAGTGTCATTTCGTCAAAAGATACAGTACTGTAGCAGCATTTAAAACTTTTTTGTCTTTTAATTTGGTGTCATTTTGATGAACTGTAATTTTTTCTCTGTATTGTTATAGAATACCAAAGTAGGTGCAAGTGAGTGGTGACTTTGTAGGACACTGGTACGGGTAACATATGTAAGATACCTCGAAAGAGTACATCAATATATCTGTCAATAACATCCATCCGCGAGAATTCAGTTAGTGATCAAGGCGCTTAAGAAAAAGCTTACTGAAAGTCAAAGTCAAAATAATCTTTATTCAAATAGACTTCTTAAAAGTACTTTTGAATCGTCCAACATTTTTTCCCTACCACTCGTTCAGGACGTCTTTTGGCCGATAAGAAGAACGAGCAAGAAACTCACCAGCTCTAATAAGAGTAATGACATTTACAAAAACCATGTCATTACCAGATCAATACATTATAAACAGAGATAAAAAAAAAACTATGGTCTTATAATAATAACATAATCATTTAATAATAATGGAAACAAGATAATGAGTTTAGAAGTAATCACCTATCCAGTTGCTGGATCATCTCAAGTCCAAGCGTTCTTATCTGTTATATAATCGGATACCTTATAATAAGCTTTTTTAATAAGTATTTTTTTAATAGTAGATTTAAACTGCATACATTAATTATGAAATTGTTAGAATTGATTATTAATTAGTAGTGGGTGAATGTGTCAATTGGAAATCTTTCAAACCTATAAGAACTTACTGTACCACATTCATGCGAAATAAATTATTATTATTATTATACAATAGTGCTCAAATATCGAGAAAATATAAACAAAGGTGCATTGAAGCAATGCTATAGCTGTTTATAATGTGTTAACCTGGTAATATCGTTACTCCCCTTAGAGCTGGTGAGTATTGAGTCTCTAAACTTAAAAATCTAACTTGAATTTGAATTTGTTTAACGTTATTCCATAGTAATAATATATTATCAAAGAAATATAATACACTATAACATAATGAATTTAGTATAGAATAACTCTTTTTTTGTCAACACCATGGATGCAAACATTTTATACACGAATATCGGTGTAACAATTGGCGGTCTTATAGCTTAAATTGATCTCTACCGGACAACCTTTGGATGGAGAGAACTAAACGATAAAATCAATCGAACCAATGTAGGAAATTAATTTTTCTATATAGTTTCGGGTCTGGGTGTTGTGTTATTTTTGTTGTCTGAGATACTCCATAATATGGGGCTTAAGCTACTCACCTTGGAATCTGAGCAATGTAAGTGCTACAACAATTTGCTTATGTTAAATGCATTATCTTGACCCGTCATTCACCGATTTGGTACTCAAAATCGTTTTCGACCTCTGGGGATGGATTGTCGCATTTTGAGTACCAGTGATTTAATTTTAAGTGGCAATTAATAATAAACAATTTAAAAGTTGGCGCACAGTCAAAAGATCGTGTCATTAACAAAGAAGCATTCCGAATTGCGTATTCGCAAAATACATTATACGATTGCGACCAATTATAATAACATAGGTACTATAAAATATGTCAGCCCCAAAATGAAAAAAGAAAACTTTAGCTCATTAATCTCACTGCTAAAGCACAGGATTTCTCTATGGACGGATTCGAAACGAATAGGAAGAGTGGTCCAACACCCACCATGAAGGTCCAGTGCCAGTTGGCGAGAGTTAATAACTGCAGTTGCAACCGAGACTAACAGGTTAACGTGCCTTCCGAGACACGGAGATGCTCGAAATAATACATTTTTGGTCACCCATTTTATAACTGACCCTTGCGAAAATTGCACTTCCGCATCGCAAGACGAACGTGCTGACTACTGCGCTATAGAGCTCTTCAAATCAATTGCGATAAATTATAATAACATAAGTACTTTAAAAAATGGTTTGCGAAAATCCAATATTTATAATAAATTCCAAAATGTCAGATGTTTGATATTTATCCGATATATATCATGCATATGAAAAGCTGCGATTTTTAAGTTGCTGGTAAAGATGTGCCGAGTCGCTAGTTTTTGGTATTCAAAAATTTTGGTATTCACTGAAAATGAATCGAATCAGGATTCGAGTCGGTATTCGAGTACTTTAGTGGACTCGACTACTTTTTGAAACGAACTTTTTAGTTTGCTTTTGACGACAAAACCTAATATCTCATCATAAATCAGATATGAACGATAGAGGAGGATGTAAATTATAATTATGATCATTGTAATCAGTTATTTGATAAAAAATACGTACTTATCTATTATTTTTCTATAATCTGACTGACGGAGTAAATAGATTTTTTATTCAACCAGGCATCAAACCTACTGTCTGATTTCAAAATATATCGCAATCATATTCAAAAGTGTATTGATTGTCGCAATCATTTTCGGAACAAATGAATGATCAAGAGATTTAATGAATATTAACGTCTAACGTTTGCCTTAAACAATTACAGCAAAATACGACAATTAGATATCGCGCAGTTCAAATCTTCTATTAAAAAAAGCTTATTACAAGGTATCCGATAATATAACAGATAAGAATGCTTGGACTTAAGATGGTCCAGCAACTGGATAGGTGATTCCCAAACTCATTATATCTCAAAAATTATCTTGTTGCCATTATTATAATTGTGTTGTCATTATAGAGCATAGTTCTTTTTCTCTCTACTTATAATGTATTGATCCGGTAATGACATGGTTTTTGCGAATGTCATTACTCCTATTAGAGCTGGTGAGTTTCTTGCTCGTTCTTCTTATCAGCCAAAAGACGTGCTGAACGAGTGGTAGGAAAAAATGTTGGACGATTCAAAAGTACTTTTAAGTAGTCTATTTGAATAAAGATTATTTTGACTTTGACTTTGATCTCAATTAACATTAAATTAACAATATCATTCATATAATATCTTTCAAAAAACGACGGCATCGCTGTTACATGTCAAATAATTATAAATAAATAGTCAAATATTCTTACCCAACTACTTGTAATTGTTTTAATTTGTTGACCATTGGCAAGATATTTTACAGTATATGGTTCAAAATCCAGACTAAGAATAAATTTCATAAATCTGTCAAGGAGTTTTTGTGCGTGAAGAAGAAGAAACATCCTATCTACTACAAACTTACGCCTTATAATGTTAGTAAGATGCATACGTAATATATAGATATAAAATGATT